CAGGTCGGGGGCTAAGGCATCCCTGCCTGCTCTAGCTCCACGTGGCTCCTTGAAGTGGCCCCTAGTCGCATGGACAGCCAGGGAGGCTCCATGGCGCTGCCCCCGCCCTGAGTGCCGGTTCTGTAGCTCCCATTGGCCAGGATCCACGACCAATGGGAACTGCAGGGGCGGTGCCTGCGGGCGTGAGGGCAGTGCACGGAGCCTTTCTGGCTGCCCATGCATCTAGGGGCTGCAGGGACCTGGCGGCTGCTTCCTGGGAGCTGCGGTAAGCGCTGCTGGGACCCCGCACTCCTCCCCCAACACCCCAACCCCCTGCCCTCTGGGGCTACACTGGCCAAGGACAGCAACTGTGAGGGGGGTGCAGAGAAGGGACAGGCATGTTAAAGGGACTTTTGGGTTGCTGGACTTAAGACCCTGAGGGGAAAGGGACACTGCCCAACTTACTTGGGGGTGGGTCTTTTGCTCCTGGTTTGTGTTTAGGAACCCTAGTTGCAGTGTTTTCCCAAATTAATGCTGAGTTACTTCCTTCCTTTTATTAAAAGTTATTGCTACAACCAGACTCTATGCTAGTGAGAGGGGAAGTATTGCTTCTTAGAGGCACCCAGGGGGTGGTGTGTAATTGTCCCAGGTCACTGGGTGGGGGCTTGAGCTGGTTTTGTGTTGTATTGTTGAAAAGGAACCCCTAGATACTGAACCCGGCCCTTGTACACATGAAAGGGTGGTCACCGTCAAACCCCTTTCTTTGACCCCCTTTGACTCCTTCCCAGCCCAGTAATACCTGAGCTCGGGGAACGTGCCCTGGAACCCCAGTAAACCACCCCTGGGAGGGGAGTATTGGGAATGGCTGAATCCAGCCCAGGGCTCTCTCAGCACCTCTGCCCTACAGCCCTGGCACCTGATTCCCATTAACATGCAACTGCTAAAAAGATTTGTTTTTTCCTGGGCTGTATGATCTCCAACTCGACACTGAAGATTACAACCCGTGAATCCACTGCCTGGGCCCTGTCTCAGGCCTCTTTTTCTGGGTTGGCCAAATGGGCCAATTGTATGAAAAAATGGCCCAGCTTTTGGAAGACCCAGCATTTCTCTTACTGCTGTTCTACCTTTCTCAGGGTGGGCTGGAGATGCCTCAGGCTGTGGTTTCACTGGCTGATCACTGAACCTTTGCCTGGACCTGCCCTTCTGATCCTGTTCTCTACCCACCTCCATTCATTCTTTCCAGGGTTTTCCAGAGAAGCCTCTTGGATGGATGCATCCTTCGAGATGAGCGCCCAAGAGCTGCTCTAGGAACTGTCCATTCCCCACTTCCTCCCCAGGGTGTCGTACACTACTGTACCACTAGCTCAGAGCACCTTTCCGTGGCCCTCTTTCTGCACCTCACTCACTCACTCATCCACCATGAGCTTCTATGGACATTCGGTATCTGTGTTACAGCCCGTCTCTCAGCTGCATAGGCACTTTGCCCCAGTCCTGGCTCCGTCAGGAGGAGGCCCTTAGCATTATGAAGGGCCCACAATTCCACCCCTCTTCGGGTTGGCCACAGTTTCTCAAGTTCCCCGGACCCACTGTCTGCCCCTCCTTGCTCAGGGTGTTTAGGGGGAGGCCTTTGACAGTGGGGGCTGCAGCTACACCCGTCCCCTCATTGCTGCCCCACGTTGAATTTTTAACTTGTTCTTTATCACCACTCTGCTCTTGCTCGGTTTCCTCTCTGGGGAGGTGGCGCTGCTGCTGCGCTCACTGCTCCTGCTCTGACGGGGCTGCTTCTCTCTCGTGGGTGCCGTTCTTCAGCCTCCTTCTCCTCCCTGGAGCCTGAACAGTCTCTGCCTCAGCTGATAATGCTCCAGCTCTCAGGGCTAGCGCCTGGTAGCGGCAGGATTTCTGGGTTCGCTTCCCAGCTTTACCAATGATGCACTGGGCTAAATTCCCCACCCTCTGAGCCCCACTTTGCAAATAATGAGAGAGAAAACACAACTCACTTCAGTGTCTTCCAAACACATTTTATCTGACCAATTCAGAGCCGACGATCTTCTCCTCAAGAAACTAAAGTGTTGTGACTCCATCTGGAACAGGAGAGACCGAGGGGCCAGCAGTGCCTAAGGCCTCAGGGATGGCAGAGAATTGATTAAGCAGGATAGGCCCTGATGATCCTAACAGGGGGATCCCTGGTCCATGCTTCAGAGGATTGTGAAAGAACTCCCAGGGTCCCTGCCAATCTGCCACTTCCTTCCCAACCCCAAACCTGGTGATCAGTGTGACCCTGAACATGAGCCAAGCCTCTAGCAATAGAGCATTCGCTGTACTGCCTCAGAGCACTGGTCCTTGTCATCCACTGTTCTGCGTGGCCCAAACCTGATGATGCAGAGGAAGGTGAAAAAACACCTATAATGCAGCTGAGCAGTTGTGCATCTGGGAGGAAAAATTTCATCCTGTCCTCTGCAGTTGGCCAGCTGAAGCCCTGAAGCATAAGGCTGATTATACGAATTATCTTAGTATTCAGGGCTGCAAGTGAGCTCATTACCATTGGAGCAAGACAGGGGGTCCTCCTAGCTCCTGATCTGGGAGGAGAACAGACTCAGGGACCTGCCCCGCTGGGGTCCCATGGGCTTTGTGGATGGGCGCCTGTCTCTCTTGCTATTGCTGTCATTCACACTCATGCTGTCTCTCTCGGTGTAGGCTGAAGATTCTCATGCACTGTGAGGCCTTATGCTCAAATAAATTTGTTAGTCTCTGAGGTGCCACAAGTACTCCTGTTCTTTTTGTGAGGCCTGTGAATTTTCACTATTATATCACAAATGTTACACTGTTCCAGGACATTGTCACAGCCCCCCCCCTCAGCCAGCCTCCAGTGGCAGGTGTGAGAGGGAAAGCAATGGAAAGAGGGAGCCACCCCCCCTTGTGACACCCAGTGATTCATTGCCAGTGTGATACCACTTTTCAACTGCTCTTAACCAAGGCAGCAGCTGCGTTTCAACTGCTCTCTCCTCCTAAGAGAAACAATTTGGGACTAGTCACCTACCCAGCTCCCATCAGAACTGAGCCCTTCTCCTTCTCATTTATCCCAAGGCCAAAATGTTCAAAATAGATTGCTTAAAGTTGAACAACTAAGTCCATGTGTAGGCACCTGAATGAGTGGCTTGGTTCTAAGAGTTGCTGAAGTCTCATTGACTTCAGTGGGAGCTGTCAGTGCTCATCCACTCTGGAATCAGGCCAAAGTTACTTAAGTGCTTAAATATGAATGAGTGTCATTACAGGGCTAGGCACACACAGGTCACTTTTTTACTTCTTACAATTTGGCCCCTTGATCTTTTCCTTGTTTCAGTCTTTTTAATGTTCGTGCCCTTAGTTACTCCCCACATTATATTTTCTCTCCTGGTGCCCCATTTCCATCAAGAGAGACCTGCCTTTTCCCAAACCAGAACCCTGGATCTCAAGCCCCTGGAATTTAGCAGAGGTTTTGAATCCAAACCTGGATCTGAATCTACTCACCAGCTCCCATCTGTATAATGTGCTAAAAGAAAGTCACAAGGCCAAACATCCCTTGCCCGTGGGATATTTCAAATCCAAAGCAGAAATTTGCTGGATGGCCCCATCTCTGGTATCGACTCATCATGCATGCACCAGATCAGGGAGCCTAGGAAGTCTCTCGCACTCTCTCTTTCACCCCCCCACCCCCTAGGATTTCTGGAGAATGGATTCCACTGTCCACTATCCCCTTCTTAGCACCTTCACAAGACTCACTGCACATACCCACTAGGAGGTGATGTGCTTTGCTGCCAGGACCTGTCCCCTGTGCTATTGGCATCTCTGGGTCCATTAGAGATGGACCTGAGACCAACCCTCACATCCCAACACCGCAATCTTTGGGGAAAGGGTAGAAATCCAGCTTGGGATCAGAGTTCTGTGCCCCAGGCCCATCTCCAAGAGTGACTGGTCCCAGCAACTGGGAAAGCCCTGGTGGAGCTGGGGAAGCAGGATCTCTCATGGGGTAACTGCTGACCGGCCTTTGGGTTATTAGCCAGACCATCCCCGCCCCAGCCTGGGACTGAGGGGCAGGGTGTGGTCCTGACAGAACATCCTGGAGAGAGGCGGTTATGGGCATTTTGACACCCCATTAATGAGCTCTGCCCTCTCTGAATTGTTGACCACTGAGATCTCTGCATCAGAGCCCACAACCAGTGCCAATCCCCCTTGGGGCTAGTTCTGCCCTTTTTATCCTAGTTCTTCAGGTTTCTTTGAAGCCTCCCCATGTTTAGGAGGCAGCCCTTTGTCTGTGGTGTGTGACTCCCACTAGCAAACACACTGCCCTGGGGATATGGGGTACTGGATCTGGATTTTGCTGGCCCGAAAGGCTCCATAGGTAACTTAATTGTTTTGGACATCGAGTCCTGAGATGCAAAAATTTGGATCTGGATTCTGATCTTGAACTGAATGTCCCCAAAGTACAGGTATGTCAGGATCTGGGCTTTAGTCTTGGGCCTCACTCTATTCTATTCTTATTCCTGCCAAGAGAGAGAGAGAGAGAGAGAGTTGTATCTAAGTAAAGGCATTTTATATCAGCTGACAGTACAGTAGGCATGGGTAACATTACAGCTACACAGGTATTCTGTCCATCTCACCTGCCCCCGCCGCCATTCTTTGTGCCAGACAAGTATTCCAGTTCTCTCTGGCATTGACTGCACTACGATAGTTGCAGCTCCAACAATGGATGGTGTCGAATAGACAGAGTAGGGATCTAACCCTGTTCAGTTACCCCTGCAGAGGGCTCACAGTGCAAACAGGGTTATGATGTAATGTTCAGAAACCAAGCAGCCCTGCAAGGAAGTGAGCATCTCTCACAGAGAAATACAAGAGATCTTACAGTTTTCTTTTTTAAAGCACCAGCATTTTCTACTATTGTTAGTCAATGGAGGGACAATGGGATGTAGTGAGGTAGACAGGGTATTTTCAGTGTCAGGAACCCCACAAGAGAAAAAGAAAAACCAACTAACAAGACAGTCCAGTAGCTTTAGTCCACTTTTTTATTTTGACTGTAATGCAAACAGGCATAGGTATTTTATTCCATAAAATCAAAAGATTGGAACTATACAGAGAGGTGCATGCTTTAGAACAGTGTGGATACCTCGCAAACAGAGCAGGAGTCAGTCCATGAGAGAGGTGCTGGAGTACATTGTATGAATGGCAGAGATTTTAGCAGCATTGAGAGCTCAGAGGTAGGGGAAACCATGTTTCTGACTGCTTAAAGCACTGATATGATCAAATACAACACCTGCCCACCCTCACTCCCACCCCCACCCCCACCCTCCTTCCTCAGAAAGAAACCTACATTTGAATCACATTTAATGCTACAAAATGTACCAATCTGTCCACCCACCTCAGGAAACACAAAGTGAGAGTCAAGCCGATGCTCCAGTCTTAACTCATGGCGTTGTTTAAAAAATAAACGGAAGGCACAATGATACGAGGGGAAGGCGGAAGGGTCACGAGGCTGAGAGAATTTGGAAAAGATGGAGTTCCAGCGAACACGGGAAAACCCAGGACAGTTAGAGGATTCAGGAAACCTCTAGAATGTGGAGGTTTCACCAAACCTTTGTCACATTTCACAAATGTCTCCATTTCACTGTTGCGCCTTTGCTCTTCATGACACAAGTCATTTAAAAACCTGAGGTTTTCAAATCTGCCAAAGGGAATTGGATACCCAGTTCTTTTAAAATGAATTGGAACAGAGCACCCAAAATCCTTTGGGAGCTAGGAGAATTTCAGCCTGTGTTTCTAACTAGATGGGAGCCAGTGTCATACAACCAGTCCTGCTTGAAAGGCACTCTTACCCTGCTCCTGGGGAACCACATACAGCCCAGAACTCAGATGCTGCCAGAAGCAAGGAGAACTCAATCTTCACCATTCTTCAGGTCTTTTCAACATATAAGAAACCAGGGTTTCTGAGGGGCTTCCCAAATGGGCTAAAGCTATTTCTTCCAGGTCAGGAGTTGACCCAAACTTGGGAGTTCCTGACATTTGTCTATTTTACAGCACTGTAACCAGAATTGATGTTTGGCCTGCATTTTCTTGGCTTTCAAACCATCACTTCAAGGCTGCACATCAGCAAACCTCATTTAAGGAAGGGTCTGAAAGGCATTCCTACATCAGAGGCATTAGAGTGAGTTTTGTTAATACACCATTCTATACCCCACACAGACAGGAATGGAGGCATGCAGGCTTGTTAGTTAAAGGTGGATTTAGATACAGTTTTTAAAAAGTTGTTTTATTTCCCCTGAAGTTGGTAGATGTTTTTTCAAATTTTGATTTTTTTTCAAGGTTTGTTTTGGACAAAATATTGAATTTTGACTAATCCCCTCCCCCCAACTCTTGAAGCCATTTTTACAATCTCCTCCCGCATGTTTTTTGACCAGCTACAGTTTTGCTGGTCAAAACTTTGTCTAATTTTGAAATGTCAGTGAAAATTTTCAATACAAATGTCCCGATGACTAGACAGTATTTGGTCCTGCCATGAGGGCAGGGGACTGGACTTGATGACCTCTCGAGGTCCCTTCCAGTCCTAGAGTCTATGATGGTTTGGTTTTGCATTGTTCAGTGGGCTGCAGTTGTTTCTGAAATGAAGTGACTGGATTCTGCTATGAACTCTGCACTCTTTAGCGGCGCCAAACCCAGCCTTGGATGGGTGCAATCAGTTCGCACTGGAATCGATGGGAGCAGTTCACACACATGCGAAACGTCTGGAACCTCATTAGTAAAGCTAAAGCTGCTTGTTGGTTGGCACTTGTGGAAACACAAACTTTTACATTTTTTGAACACGACTTAAAAAAAACCCATTTCTTTCAGACTCAGGGTAAACGCCCGAGCAGATGGGGGCAGGGGTTGCTGCATTTATTGTCGGTTTTGCTGCCTTCCCAAGCAGAGCTGGTTGAAAATTTTCTGTCAGAGCTGTTTTTCTGGTTGGAGAATTGAGTTTTTGAGTAAACTATTTTTTTTTTGGAGGGGGGCTCAAAGTGCCCACTTTCCATGGAAATTTTTGATTTTCATCAAAAAACCAATGCCTCAAACCCAAAAGATTTGTTTTCAAAGTTTTCAGTATTTGAATTTCTGCCAACCCCCCCACCCAACAAAATCCACATTTTCCATGGAAACCCAGTCCCACCCCCACATATAGACAATTTTTCAACTAGCTCTATTCAGTGGTGATTCAGAGCAAGCTGCTGCAAAGAACGAGCCTGTGGGATCCCTTAAACCAGCGGGGGACCCATACACAGATGGTTTGACTGCCTTTGAGTTGTGCCCACACAATCTTGCCCACACTTAGTGACATGAATGAGAAAGAAAGGTACCCTCATGTGTGATCAGCAAGTCACCGTAAGCAGATCTCAGCAGCAGAGAGTCTATAAACAACGTTTGAAATGAGCTTTGCGGCTTCTCGTCATTGGCCCTTATAGGCAACAGCACCAGTCTGGGGCATTTTAGAGTCCAGGCCGTGTTGTAACACTGACTCAGCAGGGAGAAGATAGGCACGTACTGTGATGTTTAAAAAGTTCAGATGCCATCCTCATATCTTTAGCAAAACCCAGAAAACACTGACCCCACTAGAGCCCATTTCAGTCCTGGAACGAAGTGCTTTAAATCCACTATCTCATTAGCTTTTCCCATCACCCCTGAAGTTTTAGTAAATAAAAGTTGTATGGGAGAAGCCAGAGCTGAAATTCCAGAGCCTGGGATAGATTTGGAACAAGATTATTAGGGAATAATGCATTGGTGCATGCAAAGCAGTAATCACTGTAACTGCTACTGCCCTCAGGCCCGATGCTGCAGAGTGACGATCGCCCCGTCTCCCACCAAAGCCAATGGACGTTGGGGGTCCTTAATACCTCACAAGATTCTGCAATCTCAATGCAGTGCTGATTGGGGGTGGGATTTCATAAGCACTCAGCGTGGCCTTAACTCTGCTAGCGCTGATGCCAGTGCTGAAACTCCCCGCAGAAGCAAAATTAGGGCCATGCTGAGCGCCACCCATCTCTGTCTGTCCTGAGAAGGGCCATGATCCTCTAGGGAACTCTGCGAGTAATTGAGAAATGATAATAATAATTACAAACCCAGCAACAGATCTCACTCTAGCAATAGCCACATCTATGGAGCCTGACAGTAGCAGCACCATTACCAGAGACCATAAAGTTCTCCTTCTCAGAATATCGGCAACCCCTGGAGAAGATCCTCCACTGGGGTAAATCAGAGCAACTCTACGCACTCTAATGGTGCTAGATAGATTTACAGGAGCTTAGCATCTAGCCTGGTGTATTTGGCTAAGCTCACAGACACCTCAGCAAGGACACCCCCTTGGCCTCCCATCAGTAATAACAAGGCCTCCATGCACTGTATGTGTCATATAGAGATTGTGCCCAGTGTGTACACGCTGCTGCTTCTAAAGAGCTGGTCCTGCAAACTCTTCCTATTCACACAGCACTCCGGGTAAATGATTGCAGAACGAGGCTCAGAACATAGGCCAACTTCTGCTGCCATTTAGGCCGGTATAAATTGACTGCCATTGATTCCTGTGGGAATTGACCGACACATCTGAGAGCAGAATTTGGCTCTTTAAGGTGAAGTTCCTTGCTCTCTGCATCCCTCAGTCTCTCCATGGGCTGGGATCATCGCTGGAGAGAGCCAGCTAGAAGGGGAGCAAGTCCCCAGAGCATTAGCATCCTCCTAGCTTTAGGTGCTTCGTGTCCCATTGCCATCACCAGAACCTACCTTTACTAAAGAGCTACTCCCCCCTTTTGCGTGGCTGAGCACGGGCTGGATGCTAGGAAGGTCTCTCCAGTGAGAGGTGCAGGAAGGCCAGTCGGTTAATTGGTAACAGGCTAAGTGTGTGAATTGATAAGGGAGGAGAATAATAGTGAAATGGGGAATTGGTAACAGGCTAAGGGTGTGAATTGATAAGGGAGGGGAATAATAGTGAAATGGGGAATTAACAGAGGTCAATAACTAATCACTATTGAGTATAGATTAGGGGTAAGATATAGCGGGGAGAAGCTTCTCCTGCTGCTGCGGTTTGTCATCTTAGATTGTAAATTCTTTGGGAGCAGAAAGTGATCTTGTTATTTGCTCCCCTTCTCTAGGGTGCTGTAATATAAAGACTGGCCTGTATGTTGCCCCCTATCTAAACTTCCAAGAAGCTGCTGTGCGGAGGCAAAGCCTCGGGGACGGTCGCTGTGGAGCTGAGACTTAGTGGCTCGTCAGTCTAAGGTAAAGCGTGGAGCTGGTCAGAAAAAATGGGGAGCATTTTTCATGCACAATTTGCAAATTCAAACAGTCTTGACCAGCTCTAGTAAGGACCCACCTGGCTGTTAACCCTTTGGAGTAAGACGTGAGCTGAGGCTCCTCCATGGCTGCACTTGCTGTGTTTTTAGCGTGGCTCATGGGTATATTGGACAGGAGGAGACACAACCCATCCTGCCAAAGCCAGCCTCTCTTGTCAGATACAGACAGGAAGCATCGGTACCAGCAAAGCTAATTCCAGAGCGGGGCTGTTACAGGAGCACAGGACTGAATGGGAAAATGAACGCGAAGGACACAGGCGAAAAGAGGAAGGGGTGAAGGATATGTCTTTGGGCATTCCTTTGCATTGATATTTCCAGGAAAGATGGGCCTGGTGCAAAGTTTGGATCCAAATTCAAACTCTCCCCATGGTTTGTGTGGGGTGGGCTGAAGGGAGATGCCGGGTTTTGCTCTGGCACCTTACAGAAAGGTCAGCTTGGTGTGTGCTGGATCCAGAGCCAAACTTCCCCAGTGTGTGGGATGGTGGGGGGGCGAAGGGCGGAGTAAAGGATCTGTCCTCTCTTCCCCCGCCCCCAGGGGCTGGATCCCTACACAGATTTGTGAGGCACAATCTCGAGCAAAGGCATCCTTCTGCCCTTGATGTGTTCTTCATTCTCTCCTCCCATTGGCTTCCAGGGGACCAGGACATGCGGCTGGAAGGGTCAGTGCCTGCCTGAGCTCTCGGCCCCACTGAAGAGCTCCCTGCGGCTGGCTCGAGCTCTAGGCCCCGGTTACACAACAGTGACCAGGGTTTGTAACCAGCACATGGTACTGATGGCTCCAGCTGTGGTTGATGCCTGCACACCACCTGGTTAGTAACCACGGCAGCTAACCACACCTGCCCCCTGCCAGGGACCTAGGCTGGTGCAACTGGCTTAGCACCTTGGGGGTGTGCAGTGTAGACAGGAGCCCCTATTCCCTCTCGTCAGGCTGGTCTCCTTCAGCCCAGCACTCTGTGCAGTGGGACAGCCCAGAATCCATTTCTCCATGAGCGGCGCTGTGTGCATGTCCCCATGGCCACCGCGGTGGTCCTTGCGGAGGCAGTGCGGGGCAGCTGTTCAGAACACACTGGGGGCAAACACTGAGAGGCAACAGGGCGGGTGCGGACATACAGTCACTGCTGCAAATTGAACTGTATCACTTGTAACCACACTACAGCCATGATTTCGTAACTGAAGAGGGGCTTAGCCGGGGATCTTCATTCATCCTCCTAGGGCAGCACATTGGGCCACCCTCACAGAACAGTGTGCATGCAAATTACCACAAGGTGGCAGCATTTGTGCATGTCCCTATTTAAAGTCCTGCTGGCTCTTAGTTGAGCAATACACTCAGAAGAGATGGATTGGGGCAGCAAAAAACCTGGAGTGGAGCTTTCCCAAAGTGCTGGGGCCTCTGGGCCCAGGGTTTTGGGTCAGATCCATCTGGGGTGGGCAGGGAAGGTAAAGACCAGGGACGTTGCTGGGTCAGTGGCAGCACACACAAGCGCCTACCAACACTGGAGGGTCTAGGCAGCAAAACCAAAGCAACCACGTGGTCACTGCGTAGCGTGAGACCAGTGAACATGAGCTGAAGTCGAGCAGCCCAGCTGCCAAGTCACACTTAAGGCTGGGGGAGGCTTCCGACCTTGCTGGACTCACTCTGTTAGAAGCTTGGCTCAGGGGAAGCCAGTGGCAGGACCTGGGCTCTGAAAACAACCCCTTGGTGACAGCGGTTGTGGGGACCCTCCACCTTTGCCGTGCCCAAGTCCTGTCCCCCTCCAGCGGCAATTCCCTACACTGTCGGCAGGAGGGGGGGCCAGTGCCTACCCGAAGGCACCAGTTTGCTGTTGCTGCCTCAGTCTAGCCACAGTGGATGGCTACATACAGTGCAGGTGGGGGAAGGGACTAGGGCTCCCAACACGCCCGAAGAACCTGGCAACTAGAGAGAGTCCCCCCACCCCCCAAAAGAGAGAGAGAGAGCCGGCCTGCGGTGGGTGGCAAAGTTCCTACCTGGAAAAGGGGAGTGACTCTCAGGGGCTGCCGGCTCTGTAGCAAGTATCAGGGGGTAGCCGTGTTAGTCTGTATCTACAAAAACAACAAGGAGTCTGGTGGCACCTTAAAGACTAACAGATTTATTTGGGCATAAGCTTTTGTGGGTTTTTACCCACGGAAGCTTATGCCCAAATAGCTCTGTAGCAGTTCCTGTAAGAGTCTCTCCCGGGGCTGTATCTGTGCAGTGGATCTGAGCGGTCAGCACCTCAGAGCCTGGCGTTAGACAGCACCAGTGCCTCTCTTCTCGGGCTTGCTCCCCCTCTCTCCTGAGAGCTCCCAGCCCAGAGGCCTTGTGCAATTTGAACAATGGCACCGTGCATGCAGCAGGCAGAGTGGGCATGGGGAGGATTTGGGGCTTTTTGCAGAGTGGAGGCACCCGGGGCCGTTGCAGCCAGCCTGGCACCACGAGAGCTTTGCAGCTCCTGGAGGGGAGGGGGGGCGTTGCTGAGAAAGGACATCTCACAAGATCGCGCTAGGACAGACTTGCCATGCTTTGAATATTCAAGGCAACTGTTACTCATTTAATGGGGCGTTACATGGGGCTCCCAGAAGGCCTGGTCCCAGGGGTCAGGAATGGCCGCAGTAGACCCCATAGAGCGGCTACTTGCTGGCTTCCTATCAACCTTTTTTATAAGCAGGTGCTGCTTGGACCTGGGCAGAGATGGCTTCAGAGCTACTCCGCCTCCCAGCCTTGTCGCTTTACATGTTCTCTTGCCTTGCTGGAGAGGACTCACGTGCCCACCGCCAGCGTCCTGTTAATCCAGGGAAGCTACAGGACGCAACACACGCCCGAGTCACAATCTTTCCTCCAGGGATCTCAGCTAATCTGTAGCCCTCTCATGCCGGCTGGCCACATTTACCCTTAACTCCCATTGCAGGCTGGGGAGGCTTGGATGCAGAGTGGGCAGTACATCCCCTGCTTCCCCGTGACCAGAGAGCACCCCCGTGCTGCCCCTTTGCAGAAGCACCAGCCTGCACCTGCACACTGCCCGTGAAGACTTTTGCACCAGCAGGATCAGCACAGGGCACACAGGCAAGAGAGGACTGAGGACGGAGCCAAGAGGGGGTGGGGTGTGGGGCTGATGATACAAACAGCACAGAGCTCACTTACGTGAATTGTTACCCATTGAACACAGACGAACCCCACCCCTCAAACAGAACAAAGCTCTGGTGCCTCCATCAACAGCAAGAAAGGGGGCAGGGCAGCACTTCCTTTCTATCCAACTTCCCCCTGGGCCAGGCCCGGAGCGGCCAAAGCAAAGCGAGGAAGATGCAGCGATTCAGCCAAGTGCCACGTCGAGGTGGGGAAAGGGGTCTCGGGCAAAACAGCTTCTCTCCAGTCCTCACTGCCCGGATCCCCCCGCTCCAGCCCCACCCCCCCAAACACCAAAGAATGCAGATGATCGCGAAGGTGGTGATTTCATGCAGCCGCGAAACGCCCTCGTCGGACCGAGCGAAGAAGAAACGTAGTTTCGTAAGAGCCACTGCGGATTATAAAGCCATCGCACTTCAGCGGGGGACTCCGAGGAGGGAAACAAGGAGTGAAAAGAAACCGCCACAGGACGACAGAGAGAGAAAGGAAAGGGAAATCATCATCATCGGGACACGACGACAGGACGAGAGACAGAGCACTTTCCGTGGGCAGGTCCCGCAGAAAAGGAGCCGCCGTGTCCGTGTAAATACAAAACCCAGCGCCCTCCGGCTGGAGGGGGGTGGCTGCCACTGCAGCTGGTTTGGCATCCCATCTGGGGCAAGGGGTTCCGGTTATGAGCAGAAAACCCTGCAAGGGAAAGGGGAGAATGACTAGCTACCAATGCTCCCTTCCACGCTTAGCCCAGCAGCCCCCCCTACTGGCATGGGGCAGCTAGCGTTTAAATGCCCTGAGCACATCTGGCCACCAGCCAGCTGAGATTCAGCATGGAGCCAGTAAAGCCACCTTGGATCCCAATGGGTACTCTGCCATTTGGCTTCAGTGTGAACGGGATCGGGTCTTCAGTCCTTGGCTGGGGAACCGGCCATCTGGCTCCCCGGGTAGCCAGCAAGCTTGCCCCCCTACCAGGTGTGCAGCCCAAGCGCTGGAGAGCTGCAGGTCCCAGGGAGCCTGACAGCCCCCCCTGGTTTCCATTGATGAAATCGACACATTCCCACAGAACAAGTCAATTCCATCTGGTCCACACTAACCCCCCATTTCGAACTAAGGTACGCAAATTCAGCTACGTTAATAAGGTAGCTGAATTCGAAGTACCTTAGTTCGAACTTACTGCGGGTCCAGACGCGGCAGGCAGGCTCCCCCGTCGATGCCGCGTACTCCTCTCACCGAGCTGGAGTACCGGCGTCGACGGCGAGCACTTCCGGGATCGATCCCAGAAGATCGATTGCCTGCTGCCGGACCCGGAGGTAAGTGTAGAACTGACACGTTCCCACTGAACTTTATTCCATTGGGAAATTTTCAACCAGCTCCAGTTGTGCCCGCCCACTCGTCTGTTGTGCCAGGCGCTCGTGGTATGGAAAAGGCTGTGTTCGCAGATACAATGGGTCAGATTCACCCTGGCAATTCCTTCCGGAATGGATTTAGCCCACTGAGTCGACTGTTCTCTCCAAGGAACTGTACTGCAGCTTTGTCTCTTTCTACTTTTCGGATCAGAGGCCTGTTCCCGTCTCTGCTATTACTGGCTTCATACATGCAAATAAATCAAAGGATCCTTCCGAGTTTTATTCCACAACCCACGCGCGTCTAAGAAACAATAGCGCAGGTTAAAATAAGCACGTCAACTCACTCATCCGTGTCCTTTTTGCTTTCCTCAATGAACGCAATCGACTCAGATCGAAGGCGGTTAGTCACTTCATATGTACGCAAGGTGACTCCAAAAATATCCTCGTGGTATCGGTTGTCATCCTGAAAGCAAGGACAGCAGAGGCGACTACACCCTTCTCCCGGTGCCATGCAAGTTGTTATTATGGTATTTCTGTAACACCCAGAGATGCTAGCTGAGGTGGGAGGTGCTGTGCAGACGGAGTGTGGGACAGTCCCTGCCCCTAAGAGCTTACATGCTAAACAGGCAAGAAAGGAAAAGCCTACAAGGGGAAACTGAGGCACGGAGCAGGGAAGTGACATCTCCAAGCTCACCCAATAGGTCAGGGGCAGAGCCATGATAGAATCCAGGTCCCTTGGCACTCTGTCCAGTGTCCACTATACCGGGCTGCCTCTCTCAATGGCTACTGGTCCACATGCCTTAAGGTTAAAAAATAGAGAAAGCGAGAGAAAGCCCAGGGGAACTGGAGATTGTACTGCAGCCTAACAGGAACATTGCCCTAGAGAACTGACTGCAATGCACGTGTACCAGTGCCCTTCACGGGATGGAATCAGAACTGCCTAACTGTATGTCATAGGCCTTCTATTGCTAACAACTAGAGGAGCTTCCCTGTTAGCTGAAATGGTAGAGGCCTGTGGCTTATGCAGCAGTAGGATCTGCATGGCCGGATTGTATAATACGTGACAACCATGAAGGTACTAGGAGGCCATAGATTTGCTACACTTGCTTATTACAGTGAGGACGCTCTAGCCAATTTTTAGATAGGTAAATAACATGCGTGGTGGGTGAAGGCTATTAGCTGGCTGGACATTGCCTGCTGTTCCAGAGACATCTCCTGGGTAGAGCCAGCACTGCAAAAGGACCCGGAACTGCAGCTCGTACTGGCAATTCGCTGGCACTGGAGCTGCACCAGAGCTAGGCCAGCGGTGGGTGAAGTGCTAGTGTGGACAAGGCTAACGGGGTTAATCTGCAGAAGCAGATCTGCCCGAGAAGCTGGCCCCCTATGGACAAGAATTCTTCCGGGAACCAGTCCTTTGCGCAGACTTGCTCCCTCAGACACCCTCCCTGTGCTGGGCCTAGGCCGGCCGGTAACGGCAAGAACCATTCTGCCGATTTACAGATTGAAGGCAAGTCCCAGGCCCCTATGGCCTGCTGCAGGGGCCTGGTCCTCTGGTAGCTCACCCATCCCCCAGCTCCTTTGGCAAGCCAGGGGCCCGGGAGGGTTGGTAGAGCACATGGGCAGAGCTGGGCAGAGAGCCTGGGCCTATGAAGTCAGGTCAGGAGGCTGGAAGGGGTGGTGCCTACTGACCACACCCAGAGCTCGTGGCCGCCATGATCCCATCATCAGTGACTGTGCAAGAGGAAGCCCTGACGACGCCCTTGGCCCAAGCTTGCGCTGCCCTACGGCAGGCTGGGGAGGGCCTACTCACCCTCAGCTTGCTAATGAAAGCGCCAGCCTGCTCCACGGACAGCTGACCCTGCTGCTTCACGATGCGCTGAATGGCCTTGAAGACGTCCCCGGCCATGGTGACGTCCCCGCACACGTAGATGTGGCCTCCCTGCTCCTTCAGCGCTTTGTACACAGACTGAGCCAGCTGCTCCTGCAGCACGTCCTGCACGTATTTCTGGGGGAGACAGGAACGGCCGTTGCACAGCGCCTGTCCCCCACAGCTCCCAAAGGGCCCAGCCCAGTTTTACACGCAGGAGTCACTTCACCCCTCCATCCATCGGCGCAGGGCAGCCACCTCTGGGGTGGAACACGGCAGCCATTTAACAACGCACGGCAATGCTGCACAACTGTTTGGGAAGGGAACTGAAGACAGTGCATACTCGGAGGTGCTAAGTGCCAGAAACTCCAGCTGAAGTCAGTGGAAGTCCCCAGCTGCACAGCACCCCTGAAAAACAGGCTCCCAGTGGGACTCGGCCAGGGCCCTGGGGTCAGTACTCGGCTAGGGGAAAGCGCCAGAGGATTGTTAATGTCCACAAGTGGCTTTAGGTCTCGTTTGAAAGGGAGAGAGATGAAGAGGGCTGGATAACGGGTTTGAGGGCTATTGTGCTGTAATTGCCTTCCTGGGGATTCTTAAACGGGAGATTCATTGGCCCACATAGCTGTGAAAAACTCGAGCCCAGATCATGTCCTCAAACTAGTTCAGGCAAGTCCCTCCAGGTGACTGCATGAGAGGTCGGACACTTCCCCTAGTGGCTGGGAGAATCCACAGCCCTGGGGATGCCGGAGCTCCGCTCACCATCTGCGTTAGACTGGCCACGGCGACTCAGGGCTGAACGTAGGTGGCATAGCAGGGTTACCTTTGGTTTGTCTGGTTCCCGGGAATAGGCTGTGTACAGCTCTTTGAAGATGCCTTTGTTTTTGGCTAGGAGGGTCTCCTCTTTGTAAATGTGGTCGATCTTGGACTGTCGGCACCCAAAGACCAAAATCATCGGACAGGGCTTCAGTGCTGGAGCAGAGACAGGTGGGATAGCAGTGAGTCACAGAAACCATCCCCTGCACCCCAGTTCCCAAGCCTGGGTTCGCGCATACCCTCCTGCGCAGAGTGGGCACGTAGAGTGACCAGACAGCAAGTGTGAGCAATCGGGACAGAGGGTGGGGGGGAATAGGAGCCTATATAAGAAAAAGACCCAAAAATCGGGACTGTCCCTATAAAATCGGGACATCTGGTCACCCTATGGGCATGTGCTGTGCTTGGATTCCCTCTTCGCCTGCTGGGAGGAGCACTCTGAGGGAGGCTATTTGGATACGTCGCTCTGTTCCCTGGGACAGCAGATGGCAGAGGGGGAAGGGTAGAAGGTCCGAGAGGAGGTACTTGGGGAGACTGTGTAACCCCTCAGAGCCGTACGCATGGATCCAGGGTCCCAGGTAACTAGCGCTGGGTGAAACAGGTCAGGCTTTTTGGGTGGGAAATTTAAGAAAAAATCATTTTTGTTTGGTTTTGCAATAAAAAATTGTTTTTAACCAATTTCATTTTTCATTGAAAACCTGGGGAGAATGGAATGAAGTGGCATCTAAAGAAAAGAATCCGTGACATTTTTCATTTAAAAAAAAGCCCAGTGGAAAAATGTCAAACCAGCTCTACGTTAGGTCATCTCGCGGTCAGCGAAACAGCCATGGCAACACATACGCACACACCACCGCAGCCATCTCCCACTCAGCCTGACGCCCACCCCTGGAGCCAACAGAGCGATTCTATTAGCTGCAAGTAAGAGGCTCAGTCCTCACAGGACCAGCCACTGGAGGGCGACGTGATCGCATGCTCTCAGCGGGGGTACTGCACTGGGCTTCGTGAGGATGCTGGGCAGGCACTTGCTCACCCCCTTACTTACCAGAGGCTCAAGACCTCAGACCCACCTTTGTGCTCGATTTCAAAGAGCCGCTGCTGCCAAAAACTCCGGAACGGGGCGATTCCCGTACCTGGGCCAATCAGGATGCAGGGAACCTGGGGATCTTGTGGCATGTGGAACCCAGGAGCTCTGGACAAACAAGTGTCTAACGTTAGCGATGCCCCTCATGGGCCAAGGCCCAGGCTGGGTCAATGAAATCCTAGTGGGGGTAGAAATGGAGCTCAGACATGCAAGTGCAGAAGTTTGAGTGTGGAAGGCGGTGGCAAAAAGTGGCGTTCGAAGCAGGGCGCATGGTAACAGTCCATGCCGCGCTCTCTTCTGTGACCCCTGGCTGTTCAGGGGCATCGGGTACCACACCCCGCCCCATGCTCTGTACGGTGCTGTTGCAGACTGCTCTACGGAACAGGGCCTCAGCCCCTCAGCCCCTCCGCCGTTCCGGGTGAGGAGGCAGCTCATTGGTAGAAAGCCCGTTAGTGCTGTGAGCGCACATGGTGGGCTACAGACAGGGATTCGCGGGCTCTCTGCTGAGAATAGCTGACAGATCAGTCAGTCTTGGAATGGTCTAAACCCTCCCTGGCTCTCGGGGACTCCACGTGCAGTGAACATGCCACTCACCCTCTTACAAAACAGGGCACAACTTCATCAGCCTGTATCCGGTTGAACCAGGAGGAACAGACCCCGTGGTGGATCGGTCCTTCCCCATCTAGGAGAGGAAAGGAGGAGAGGGTTTGTACCCTGCCCCAGTCCTGCTGAATGGATCACTGCAGAATACCCTGGCCATTTACCTCCCTGCACCCAGCGAAATGCTCTGCCCAAACCTCCCCCAATCTGACGTCAGCACTAACGGCAGCCAACCCGTCACTTGGGGTCAGACTGGCCAGGCTCTGAGTGGTCCCTGGGACCAAGTCTGCTCTTCAGGGCAGGCTGGACCACTGCAGCACTCAGGACGGGCTGGCTTCCCCCAGGCAAACATCAGGGAGGTGCCATTGGCTGGAGCAGGGCAGTTTGTAACTTTGCTGTGGCCCTAACACACTCCCGCTGCTAAGGGCCAATGGGACCTTCCCGAGCTGTCTCCAGCTGGGTGAGTGCTTGCAAAGAAACCTTGGCCACAGGCTCTCGCTGGAGGTTTATATACCAGGTACCCCCTCCCCAGCTAGGGTTCCTCCCAGGCGCCTTGAGAAGATGGTAATAGGCTTCTGTGCCACCCCGATAGTCTCCTGCCAACGCAAGCAGACACCACGCTTGGCAGTGCTGCGTGGAAGATGAACGTTCAGCATTTCTATAAGCTTCCCAGAGGCGGGAAGCAGGAGAGACACATGCCTGCGTGAGGGGCCTGGCCGATCCACCCTGGGGGCCGATCTGGAGTCTCTGCTCCCCGCCACCCACTGGTGTGAGGCAGCTAAGACGAGCGCACGCAACCGTTGTGCTGCGCAGTGCAGAGCGGCCTGGAAGAGCTGGAAAGCCGCCGGTTTCTGCTGCTGCATCTGGCTGCCACAGCCCCCAGCCCTACCCCAAGGGAGCCCCGTGTGAACAGGCAGCCAGGTTTTAACGAGGGATTCCCCCATCCCCAAACACACAGACGTGCCCCCATATGTTAATGGCCACCGCCCACCGTGCAAATGGAGATGAAGGCCCCATCTGCGTGGCCACCTAGCACAACGCCATGGGACGGCTCTAGCTGGTCGCCACCACCCAAACCATGAGCCCCTTGCAGCGCTGCTGGCATGGTACCTCTAGTGCGGTAGGAGAGCACGGCCACGGTGAGGTGCACCTCGTCCGGGGACATGTCGGGGGAGGAGCTGATGGAATAATAGCGAGGCTGCAGCACGGGCAGTTGGGTGAGCAGCAGGGTGGAGGGCATCTGCACAGACGGGAACTCCTCTAGCACCTCCACTATGGTGGGGTTCTTGGACCATTTCCATTCCTCGTACTCCTGCAAGCCCTGAAGCGCGGGAGGGAAAGGACAGGTGGGCTCCTGTTCTAGGCCAGACACATGGCATCATGCGGGCCCCATGGCAGGGTGGAGCAGACGAAAGGGAGCTCTGGCTGGGGATGCCAGGACGCGTGGCTGCAACTGCCTCTCACAGGGCTCGAGGACACCCAGGGCTCTAGCCCCGATTGCCACCCATCCTAGGGCCTGCTCCTCAGGACTCGAATGTTCCTGACGGAGCCTTCAGTGGATTCCGAGCTACTCCCATTATACCGCGAGTGTGCCGCACAATCACAAGGGATCCCGGGCTCAGACACTCTCCTACACAGACACAGCAGTAGTGGTGCAAGACATCCATGCTGATTTCCAGGGAAGGAGGGTCTAGAGATCAGGACAGGGAGTCAGGAGCCGTACACTCAAGCCCCAGCTCCGCCACAGACTCCCCGTGTGATCTTGGGCACGTCACTTAATTTCAAAGCCCTCCTCTGTAAGACAAGGAGCTGCGAGGTTAAATTCACTGAGCATAAAGCACACTGAGGGGGGCTACATCAGTGCAAAGACGTTGATCCATTAAACTGTCAGTAGCCCTGGGTAAGGAGCCAGTGCGGGAGGCCACGTTGATCAGGATGGAAGAATGCATCTTGGGGACATGTAATTTCCACAGGCTGCATTTCTGTATGAACCGCCCAGGACTGCAGGGGAATCCTGCTCTAGGATCTGAGAAGGCAAGTCATTGACAGCAGTTTACATAGACAAGCTTTCCTCAGCCAGATTCATCCAAAGACATTCAGGAGGCAGATAGAGAGGTGGAGTGTTCATCGAGAGGAGCCGTCTCTCTCTCTCTCTCTCTCTCTCTCTCTCTCTCTCTCAGGGGGAGGGGGCGTTCTCTGGTTACCACTGTCTAAGGTTGAGCAGAAGCATGGGGCAAGTAAACCTCCTACATTAGGAAGAGGCTGCCAACCAGACCTATGGATTTACCTTGCTAAGGACCTGCAGACGTTTCTTCTCCTTGTCGCTGGTGGCCAGTAAGGCAAACTGCTGCAGCAGCAGCGGGGTGGGAGGTGTGGTGATGTCCAGGTAGCACTTAAACGCCTGGAAGATGGTGCAGGGTGGGATGCGGTTCTCATCTGTCCAGTTACTGATGACACCTGACAAGAGAGAATCCAGTACAATGCAGTGATCAGCTGAGCCTGCCAGCCCACCCTGGGCAAGCCAATGAAGGCTTTGACTCCAGTGGGAGACAATGAATGAGGAAGGGCTAGAAAGACGAGTCTGGCATGATCTCCTGGGGCTCGCTATGACCTCACCTCGTACAATCGGCCACACTAATGATACAGCGTCTGGTTCTCCCAGTCTTGTATTGCTTTGGGAAGAGAGCATTTGCCACCCGCTTAGCGCAGGGCAATGGAGCATCAGGCCCATAGAATGTCCAGTATGGAAGAGCTCAGTGCGTCCGGCCAATCAACACCCTTTAACTCTACTTTCCATGGACCAGTTGTTCAGGTCTTGCATCCTAGGTACCCGAAGAGGTTTCCACTGGTAAGAGGGAACAGAAAACCCTCCCCTACGGCCCTGCTCTTCCATGACATGGCTGCTCTGAGCACCCCACAGCCCCAGAGTGCAGCTCAGCTGTGGATCTGGGCCCCCTCTCTCATGACGAAGAAGCTAAAACCAGGGCTACAAACCCTACAGTCCTTATGGGAATGCACCAGGGAATGTGGTCCAAAACCCCCCAGCTAGGATCCACATGGCACCCAGAGACTCTGCAAGGGGGGCAGGGAATGGGGTCCAGCTGGCCCTGGTTACCTAAAGCTGTGCTCCTCTCCTCCAAGAGCTCCACCTTCACCAGCTGGTTGGCTGGGGGTGCATCCTCGAGTCTCTCCATCAGGGCACTGACCAAGTCCTCGTGGTTGCCTGGAAACACTCCCAGGTGGTCTCCAGGCTGGTAGCGCAACTCCTGCTGCCCGTTGGTGTGAAGTCGCAGGAAAATCGTTGACCGACTGCGGGGGGGGGGGTGAAAAACAAAACAAACCCAGCACTGTGACGTGCCTCTGGACAGCTGTAAACCCTCAGCTAACGGGGCCCAGCTCTGGGAGCTGTTTCTTTAGGTGTGATTTTCTAAGGAGCAGGAAGGAGGGCACAGGAGCAGCCCAGAGTCTGCCCAGATGATCGTATGTTTGAACTAAGGAAAAGGAAACAAGAACGGGAGCTTAGGAAAGACTCTGCCCTCTGTTCAGACCTGGCCTCCCGCCCCACTCTCCTGTGCTGGTGTTTTCCACTGCTAGCCCTCCTTCTGCACACCGCTTGGAAAGCTGAGCTCGCTGGCCCAATGCTGTCCTTCGTGGAACTTCCGCATCGCCGGCCATGCCATGAATGCAGCACCCTGCCCCTTTCTCGGCACTAGCACGGTTGGTGTCAGCAGGAACGTCTCAAGGAAACCAGTTGGCCCCTGACCGGCTGCAGCGCTAGCAGCAGAAGCCCATGTACTGTTCTGGTGTGTCACAGCAAAGGAGTGGGCCACAGGTGTCCACGAGGAGAAACGCCGCTGAAGTGCCTGTGGCCCTACTGTTGTAAAGCACGTGGAAGTGAGGCCAGGTCTCCACTACAACTTACTTCGGTATAACTATGTCACTCGGGGGTGTGCTGCACATGCAGTCGTACCGAACTAACCGCCAGTGTGGACAGCACTAAGTCGACAGCTTCTCCCACCAATATAGCAAAGGTGAAGCATATTCAGACACATTACGGCTGGGGATACGGTGGGATGGTTTGCACGGACAGGAGCATTCCTGAGATACCCGTAGAGGATTCACTACATTGGATGCTAGGGAACATTCACCACCAAGTTAGAAGTAAGGTTTGTAGATTAAAGATTAAAGAGGCTAGGACTTTTCAGCTTGGAAAAGAGGAGACTAAGGGGGGATATGATAGAGGTCTATAAAATCATAAGTGGTGTGGAGAAAGCGAATAAGGAAAAGTTATTTACTTGTTCCCATAATATGAGAACTAGGGGCCACCAAATGAAATTAATGGGCAGCAGGTTTAAAACAAATAAAAGGAAGTTCTTCTTCACACAGCGCACAGTCAACCTGTGGAACTCCTTGCCCGAGGAGGTTGTGAAGGCTAGGACTATAACAGGGTTTAAAAGAGAACTGGATAAATTCATGGAGGTTAAGTCCATTAATGGCTGTTAGCCAGGATGGGTAAGGAATGGTGTCCCTAGTCTTTGTTTGTCAGAGGGTGGAGATGGATGGCAGGAGAGAGATCACTTGATCATTACCTGTTAGGCTCACTCCCTCTGGGGCACCTGGAATTGGCCACTGTCGGTAGACAGAACATTGGGCTGGATGGACCTTTTGTCTGACCCAGTCTGGCCGTTCTTATGTTGTAACGCAGGGCACACTTTAGGCCTGGCCTGGTTGATTGATTCATAGATGCATAGATTCTAGGACTGGAAGGGACCTCGAGAGGTCATTGAGTCCAAGTTCCTGCACTCATGGCAGGACTAAGTATTATCTAGACCATCCCTGACAGATGTTTGTCTAACCTGCTCTTAAAAAATCTCCAATGATGGAGATTCCACAACCTCCCTAGGCAATTTATTCCAGTGTTTAACCACCCTGACAGGAACTTTTTCCTAATGTCCAACCTAAACCTCCCTTGCTGCAGTTGAAGCTCATTGCTTCTTGTTCTATCCTTAGAGGCCAAGGTGAACAAGTTTTCTCCCTCCTCCTTCTGACACCCTATTAGATAACTGAAAACTGCTATCATGTCCCCTCTCAGTCTTCTCTTCTCCAAACTAAACAAACCCAATTCTTTCAGCCTTCCTTCATAGGTCATGTTCTCAAGACCTTTAATCCTTCTTGTTGCTCTTCTCTGGACCCTCTCCAATTTCTCCACATCTTTCTTGAAATGCGGTGCCCAGAACTGGACACAATACTCCAGTTGAGGCCTAACCAGCGCAGAGTAGAGCGGAAGATGCTTGGAATTAAGAAGTTGGAGAGAGCTGTGTGTGTGTCACGTGTATGCACCAGGACAGACTGCGTGTGTGCCTCATGGGTATATGGGTGAGATGCGTGGCTGTCAATCCTACCTGGATTTTGGGCTCTGCAGATTCTGGCGTGTGAGAAGCCGGGCGGCATAGACTCGCTTTTTGTGAATACTGTACAGACCTGCGGATGAGAAGTTCCAATCAGATGAAAGCGGCGGAGACTGGCGAGGGCAGGCTGGCTGCCCCCAGGTCTGACTGGGCACCACCACATTCAGCATTTCAGAACCTGGTCTGGCATGCAGCAGCTGAGTGATTCCAGGGCTGCCCTGGCTTGGGGCCTGCTGCTCCACCCTACGGGAGACCCACAGGGCCTTTGCTGGTAAGCTTCAGGGAGCCTTCGGGGCCATGTGAAAGGAGCGAATGATTGCAGCAGCTCCCTGCTCTCAGCAAGTAGGTAACCAGGGGGATGGAGGAACAACCACCACCACCAGCCGCATGCACATACACACACCTTTCATTCCTAACACAACACATGCCATCTGGTTGGCAACTGGGCATCTGAATTCAGGAGGAGCCGAGGCAGCGCTGCGTTTACCAGCTGCGGGAGCCGCTCTATGGTGCTGTGTTTTATGCTGTGTTTTAGTGGGTGGGCCCCACCCTGGGCTACGCCATGGGAGGGAGAGTTTTAAACAGGTGGCATAGAGCACTCCTGAATTTCCACTTCTTCTGCTTCCTCTCAGCAATGAGTGCGTCTGCTCTGCAAGAGGAGGGAGCAGCAGGCAGGCCGGATTCAGCGCTGCCCTAGCCTACCACTGCCCTGGCACAGGCCCTCCGCCAGCTTGAGAGGCCGGCAGCTGCCTGTCTCCAGCCCCTTCCTCCAGCCGAGCGTGGGCTTCCCACCCTGACTGCGGCTGGAGCGGGTGGTGAAGAGGCAAAACCAGACAGAACTTCAGTGGAATTCTCCTCCCAGGCCACAATGAGCCATTCGGGGGGAGGGGAGGGGCTTGAAGTTGAATGGGGACCGGAGGGGCAGGGACAAGGGGGAGTTTTCTATCCAGCGATAGGGTTGGACATCGGGTGAAGGATATGGGAAGAAAAGAGAGCAGGAGAAAGGAACCAGAGGGAGGGAGGTGAGAGGGCAGGAGGGAGAGAATGGAGGGAGCAGGGACAGGGCACATCTGAGGGAGGGTGAGATATGGACAAGAGAGAGTCGGATACCCAGAGAGAGGGTCTCAGCAGAGCTCTGTCCAGGGTGCCCTGCACCCTTCCCCCAGGTAAGCCCACCACTGGCCCCAAGGATTGTAATCTGCCCCAGGGTCTGCCCCATGCTCAAAGCCCCCTGGTGACCAAGCGGCCGTACCTTGCGTGAGCTCGGGGGCCTCAGCCACGTAGGTCAGGCGGAACTTGCTCCTCTTCCAGCTCCGGTCGTTGCTGATGAGGGAGTTGTTGGCCTTCTCAATGTTCACGTCATCTCCCACACAGAACACGTCGCACGCTGCCTGCAGCACACACCCGGCTGTCAGGGGACCCCCCAGCTCGCCAGGCCTTCAGCCCAGCCTGGCTCCTAGGAGGTGCCAGCGCCTGCTCTCGGCCAACACCCCTCCCACCCACATGATTACCTAAGGGAGGGCGGGACGGCACTGGCTAGGGTGTAGCACCATGCCTGGAGGCTCTGCGAGCTTCCCCCGCCCATCTCAGGGGGATGTTCTGCCAGTGGTGCATGGGCACATCTCCTGTTCGTCTCAGCATCACCCCCTCTCCCCTGACCCACAAACACAGGGGATAGTCCCTAGATCTCGCCCTCCTCAGTTGCACATGGGCTTAAACCAGAAGCCCAGTTCTGATCACCCCAGAGTTTGGGGTGTTTGGAATCTGAAATGGCCCCTTCTTTTTATAATAGGCCAGAGCATAGCCTTGGTTCCCACCACCTCCAGAGTTTGAAGGTGTCCAGATTCCACACCCAGGTTCTTTCGCCAGCTCTCGTGATTGGACCACGATTCACATGGTATCTGAGGTTTCTCTTTAATGCCCCAGCTCCTGGAGTCAGGTTATTACAAGAGACTATCAACTTTCCTTAAAAATAAAAGGAGTAAATGTCTAGTCCTCATGGTGTGGAAGAAAGCTTAAAGCCATGACCACTAATGGCTCAAGAACCAGAAGGCCAGTAAATGGAACTCAACGGTGACTATTTATTTAGTTT